TGGGAGTCAGCTTCAAGATTCATTTTGCTAGCACAGCTCTGTGGATGAAGCATTACTATGCACAACGCTTTATAAGGGATGTGGCGTTGTGAGACAGCCTGCTGCAAACCCAACCCAAAGCGTAAGGAGAAGGGTGAATTGCTGAATCTGCTGCTTTCAAAGGAATGATTATGGCATTATAATTTTAAAACATCAACACTACCACTTCTCCTCCTCCTTCCTCTCCTTCTTCTGGCAGATGCTTCCGTGAACTGGAGTCTCCTTCATCTCACGAAAGCTCAGGCCATCATTCACTGGTTCTTTAAGGTGTTACAAAACTCCCTGCTGTGTTTTACTACAAAATGGACTAGCTTATGATCAATGCCTTGCAAATGGTAAATGCATTTCAGTATTTGGATCTGTGTATAAATATTAACATACCCCATAAAATATTTCACTAATGTTTTAGTGGAGGCTGGTGCCCATATCGTAAAGGATCTATCCATGGTGCTGAACGGTGTCCCTAACATAGCTTTTTAAAATTCAGAGTGAAATCTGGAGTACATACATAGCCCACTGAAACTTGAAGCTACCGATCTCCACTGCCAATATAAGTGTGATTTATTATGACTGAAGGTTTGGGGTTTGGGGTTCTCCATCTCCGTCACCGTGAGATAATGAGTAGTGCACTTTTGTTGATTATGCTGCTTTAACTTGCCACCATCAGATTTTTTCCCCTTCCAAATCCCCCTTTTTGTAATATCTTGCCTGCTGAAGAGATGTAGAAATCTTGAAAGCTTGCACATTTCCAGCGATCTTTATCTTTTAATAAAGGTGTCACATGAATATGGATTCTGGAATTTACTTATCAACATGGCTACTTTTGGAAAGTGGGTGGGTCACAGATGGGTCATAAAGCATGCTGACATGACTCCTCTTGTCACCAAACTTTGGGGCCAGGCTCTGGGACCATGTCTTGTGCATGCTTATGGAAAGGAAGAGCTTCCAAAAGAGCCTGGTGCCATTCTATGCACGGCCCTCATTCAGTTCAGTGCAGCGTGTGCAAAGAAGGTTTCCGTTACTGTGGGTCCAGTGGGATAATGGAAAACTGCAGTTGTTAGAATTTTAAAATGGGAAACTTAAATGTGAAAACTGGAGAAAAACCGAATTAAGCCACAGTCTAGTTGGAAAATGTTTGTTTTACATAAGGCATCTTGCTCTTCATAGGACATTCATTTCTGCCTGATGAAGAATCCTGTGTCACTCAGAGATTGGCACACTTTTAGACCACCAGAAACTGGTCCAAGAAAAAAAAGAAAATATCACCTTATTTATCTGTAATCTTCTCGGTGTGGCAAATCCAGCACATTCCACAGAATGAGGCATGAAGCCCATGGTAGACACACAAAGACATTCAACTGAGATTTACGGTTACACTCTGCAACGAATGTTAATTGCATTCTCAGATTTTATTTCAAAGCAATCCATATACCAAATAAAAATGTGTGAGTTGTGACATGGTTTAGGCACCCTGCATAAACAAGTCACTGCAAGTCAGAGTTTCCTAATACCAAGAGGGGCTGGGTTACACTTGTCAAAAGTCAAGCTCTCAGCTCTTCCCTTCTTTGGGTTCTTTCTGTGTGTAAATTAACAGAATCAGTTCTCTGATACTATTTCCATTGGCACAACCGGAACAAGCGGGATTTCTGCAGTCCATCTGGCTTGTCCAGGATTACTTAGTTGTTATGCAGACAGAGGACTTCATGGAGGAAGAGTCAGTCTGTCCCCTGGTTTTGTTGCAAAGCTCTTGAACCTCTGCCCTGCAGCCCCGGTTTGGCCTGCCTGAGAGTCATTTTCCAGAGAGTCAAGTGCCTACCCCTTTCCCCAGCTGCCTCCTCTTTGCAGGTTTCACAGTTTTTGTACAGTTTTCCTTCCATTCTAAACAGCTGAGATGCCTCACTCAAAGCTTAATTACTGGCAATAGTAAGACTTTTAGGATCAAAAATGCTGAGTTTTTTTAATGCTTTAGCCCCACTCAGTAATGGAGTGCAACAGCCAAGAGCCCTCTTGAATGCAATTTGCTCTTCAGGCTGAAAGAATCTAATCCCAATGGGTCTTAAAAATGTGGCATCTTCTATTTGTCAGGAAAGTCCTATTAACAGCATTGCAGCCACATTCTGGTGTTAGCTGGGTGCTTCATTCATGTAGAATATGTGTGGAGGCATTAGCTGGGTGGCATTAGCCACAAAAAGCTTAGACTGAAGCAAGAGACATGAACTCTGGGGAATGTTTTACTACATACAGCTGAACCCCTTCCCTGTGTTTCCCCTGATATCTGAGTGGAGGGCCTTTGCAGTGGTGGCACCCAGCTGTGGAACACTCTTCCCAGAGTGGCTTGGCTGCTATGTACCCAGATGTTTTCCCAGCACCTGGGGAAGGCCTTCTTTAGATGTCTTTATTTGACCTATTTGGATGCTGCTTTTACAGAAAAGGCATTTTAGCTTACTTGAACATACTCGATATTTTATGGTTTATCAATATTGTATTGTAAGCTATCCTGATTTATAAACTACCTTATTTAGAATATAAATCTAATAAATATAAGACACATCTACAGAATGCCTGGCACTGCTCTGAGGTCACTAGAGGAAAGAAAACATACAAATATAATATAAATGGATAGTTACTAGAAAGAAGGCAATTGCTGGTAGATGCAATCAGATCAGACTTCCAAAATCTAGTGCCTTCAGATAACAACTCCTATCAACCCCAGACAGCATGGGAGTTGTAGTACAAGACATGTGGAAGGCATCAGGTGGGGAAGACGGAAGCTATAACTCTTTTGCCAGTATTTAAAAATAACTACACCCGTGTTTGTACTTATCTGCTGTGAACAACTAGTAGGTAACAGCAGCAGAAATATCACATTGCTGTGCTGTCTGTTACTGATCAGGAAAAATGCTTTATCTTCTTTGCTCAAGTTGACCTGACATATAGCACTGAGTTCCAGTAAACAGTGTCTTATTACATCAAGATAACATTTGATGGCAAGGATTCTGTGTCAAGTCATAGGACTTCTCTTATAATGAATAACCTAATTATTTGAATCGACAGCTTAAATTCAGTGTGCCTTCCAGACTGGTGCCTTTGTGCTGAGGAACTAAGCTCATTGAGTTCAGTGGGATTAATAGGGTCATCTTATTTACTCTGAAGTAAGTCCTATTGCTTGCCATGGTGAACTTGTCCCATGGAAGTAGGCTCAGGACTGTACACTTCCTGGGTGATGACCCATAGAATGCAGTGGGAATTAATTCAGAGTAAAGATGCTTCAGATTGCATTGCATCTGCAGAACGGCAGCCTCAGCAAAAGCAACTCCCAGGTAGAATATATGCAAGCCAAAGAACCTTGCGAACTTTGTGCTTTCACTTACAGGAGCAATTAGCAATTGTTTGTTTTCCAGTGTTTACTCACGAGAAGCAGCCCCTACAAGTGGCCACATTTTAATCCTGCATGTGACCTTCACGTGAGTGCCTAGTCAGGCTGCAATAACTCAACCAACTCCACATGTCACTTTTATGGAGGAGGCTGCGGGGGAAGCAAGAGGGGAAACTGTGCATTGAGCAACTTCCTTAAAGACAGGGGGATAAAGCGAAGAACAAGTGATGAAAAACAAACCGCAATATCCTCAAATTGTTTGTGGGGAATTGCTTCCTTTATGAGGAACTCCATAATGGCAGACTGGCTTGTATGGGAGGCGGCTGGCCACTATCGGGCCAAGAATTGCACAATCGTGTAGGCAGGCTTCCAGGTCGCGCTCCGGGTTCAGGCAGGGTGAGGGCAAGGCCCCACAGCTCACAAGAAACAGGCATGCGTCCCGGAAGCCTCATCCATTTGTGGGATTTCAGCCAGATTCAATGGGGCTCTTCAGCAAGCAAGTGCTGGGCAGAGGCCTCACTGAAGGGGCTCCTCAGGAGCTACCGATGAAAGTGAATGAAAGCCTGTTGCTTTGAACTTTCTGCCAAGGCAGGAACTTCCACAGAGCCCCAAAGCTCACCTTGGGCAAGTCATGTGCTCTCAGCCTAAGGTGCTTCACAGAATTGCATTGACGATAATAAAAGACTGCATAGGCCATCTGGAGACCCTCTGAGAGCAAAAGTTTACCCTTTTATCTTTCAAAGGTCTGCAGACTAGGTGAACTGTTCCCCTTTCTTTTTATTTTGGCACCCCAGTCATCTTTTGGGCCTACTACAGGCTGGCTGCGTGGAGCAATCTTTGGCAAATTCGGAAAGGATCATTCTGTCTATGGCGACGTGACTTGACATGACCATCTCCAAGAGGCAGGATGCCCAGGTATGCCCATGGCTGCGACACACTTGTGGGAGCATGGGGTCCCACTCACCCCTCACAAACAGGGTTTCCAAAGGCCTGGCCACCATGAGGGCAACAGGCAGGATGCAACAGAGCCATAGTATTGTGAGACTCACTGCTAGCACCAGAGGAAGATCCTACAGTAGCTGGAAATGCGTGAAATGTTTTTGGAGCTTCACCCACCTGTCCCGTTCCGGCAGCGAGCATTTCCACTTGTTCCTGGGATTGCTGCCACACATGCTAGTTGCCATTGCACTGAGCTTAGGCTTGGACGGCCACAACTCTTTGGGCTATATATGTAGAGCATAAACTGAGGCAGCCCTGAACTCTTCATGGTGTCCCTTATAAATTTGAGCATGAAATTCCAGGAAGTAGCCTAGCTGCTTTCTCCAAATTAGTGCCTTCCAGAAGTGACTGGATCCAGTGGAGAAAGCTACACTAACCACTCTATTCTGGGAATCAGTTGGACTTGCTCCCAGTAGAAACTTGGGACCTGGCCTGAACATGGACATATTGTGCACAAGTTTCACTGTGTTCATCGCTACAGCTTTCAGAAAGGTGCTTTAACACCAGCTAGACTTAACAAGTCTTAAAAATCCAAAGACTTCACAAAATCAAGTGGGGAAGGTTATTATGGAATTAACATTATGCATTGTATTAAAAATCCATTTATTTTGTGTTCTGTACATAAGAAATGAGTCTTACACAGACCTTTTGAAAACAAAACAAAAAGTAAAAACATAAATACATATATATATTTTCTTACAAAATGTCAGATTTACAAAATATACATACTGCACTTTCAGCTAGTCTTGTGGACATTTTAAAAGCTCCCAAACCAACCAGGATCTTTGAACCAGGGAGATCAAATATACTCCAGGATTGGCCGGATGGATTTCTCACTGCTTCCTCCCTAGACACACCACCTGGCATGCCCCTTTGATGGCGGCATCCCCCCCCCCACCCCAGGCTCCTCCATGAGGAGGTGCTGGGCTGTTGTGTTTCTTTTTTTAGAGAACTTGATCTTCATTCATTAAAGAGAGAAATGATTGCTGCCTTGGGAAGAAAGTAAGACTTGTTAAAGGCCACAGTTTTCCTATTAGTCTTTCAGGCAAAAATAAAGTCAAAGCCTTAAGTTTACAGAAAACAAAGTCATCTCATCCCCCCACAGTACAAAAAGAAAGAATTAAATTTTAATATGATTTTAAGAGACAGAGAGAAATAGCATCCCTTGACTTTTCAGAGAGCAGTATGAATCACTTCCGCTGTAAAATTTGGTTTCTTTTCATCAGTCCCCTCTCTGGGGGCATTTCAAGTATGAGATGCAGATCATATTTGCAGTTTTATTTTGGAACTATAAGACCTATATTTAATAAGGTGACCAATCAAGAAAGTGATGCAGAACATGGCTGTTTTTTAAAGGAATGCACAGCTCAGAAACAAAGGAAACCAGTTGCTGCACTCTATTGTTCCTTAAGTTGCCACTGAACCCTCATTTGGGAGTTCCATTGAAATTAATGGGGCTTTCCCCAAATACATATATGCAGGATTGCACAATTCCATTGGCACAATCCAGATAATCGTCAATGTGGACCTGTACTGAATAATGCCATCCTATTGACTTCACTAGGACACATAGCCTGATCCTATGCTGAGTGGGTCTTACTTCCCAGTACACCTGAACAGGATTGCAGCCTCAGTCATGGCATACTTGAATGTACCAGATTGTACCAAGTACACAAAATGAATCCTGCAGTTAGGTGTACCAAACTTTAACACTTACTATGGGATAAGCCCCATTAAACACAACACCACAGACAGCTGGGTAAACATGGATAGGATTATGTTGCAAATCTGACTGCTTCTGATAGAGGGATGCCCACAATTCACAACACAGATGCGCTTCAGAAATCTGCTTGATTTCAAGGGGAATTAAAAGCAAGAAACCTTCCAGATGTGTTGGACTACAACCTCTATTATCCCCAGGCAGCATGGTGATATAAAAATAAGCAGCAGGGAGAACTACAGCCTTGTGGAAAGAAAGGGGATATTATCAATGCCCTGTTTTACATATTTCAGTGCTGGCTGTTTTGTCAGGTGTTCTGAATTAAAACTCCATTGAGAGATTGAGAGGGAGAGGCAGAAAGGAGGAGGAAGGCGTCTCAGATTTCATGGAGTTAAACATGAGACCTCACTCAGACTTCCCTTTCCCTCCGTTTTCAAAACAGGAATGTGAGGCTGCCCAAGCTCGCAACTCCACAGCTGAACCTCAACAAATTCTTTGTTAAGTTTCCCCATAAAAACTGATCCCATGCTTATGCCTGACTGCGAAAGAAACTCACTTTTGTTTCTCTTTTGTCTCCTCTAACAAAAGGGAAGAGAGTAAAAAGCATTCTACCCAAAATCAACATGTCACTTCTTTTTCAGAGTCCTACACAGCAGCTCCCCTCCCCACCCCAAGCCCCCTGCAAGACACGTTTGCCAAAAACAGGATTCATGGGGAAGGAAACTTTTAAACTGAAGTGGGGGAAACCCACCCACACCCTGCAGTGGGAACCCCTGCCTGATTACTTAGAGGTTTAAATCCCATCGAGTTCAGTGTCTTACTCCTCAAAATAAGCATGCAAAACTGCAATCCTAGACACACTTACCTGGGTGTAAGTAGCACTGAACTCAATAGGTCATGCTTCTGAGCAGACATGAATAGGGTTGCACTGCCAGAGTAATAAAATGTGTAAGCACACTTTACTGGCAACATCATCTTTGGGAGGGTGGGAAGGGAGCCACCCCAAAAAAAGACCCTGATACCTGCCTGGATATGATTACAAAGACAATGGACTGGGACTCTGGGAATGTCTTTGTCTGTGTGAACAGGGGTAGAGGTAGAGATGGCTTAGCAGTTTCAATCTGACACCACGGAAATACACAAAAGTGACCACCATGTCATTAAAAAAAGAATACATTTGTTTTTCTCCCCTTTATCCACCCTCCCCTCCCCCAAGAAGAACTTTGAATCCTTGGCACAATTCCAGCATTTCCCTTTGAAAAGATACTGCAGTACTTATTTATGGGGTGGGTGCAAGAAAAGTAAAGGAATTCTCACAGGGGTGAAGAGCTGTCTTAAGAAAAAGGACACTTGTTTTGTGCTCTTCCACTCAGCTGGCAAGCCAGAAGGTCCATTGTGTGTCAACAGCGACCTCCTGGTGAAGCAAAGGCTGAGCTTGAAGGAGCGACCATCCCCCCTCCAACCCCACACCCCTGTTCCTGCAAAGAGCCTGTTGCCACAAAAATCTGCGAGCAGCCTTGGGGACGACCTTCATACCGCTGTCTCCCCTTTGCTACCCGTGCTGAGTCTGTGATAAAAGCGCCGCCAGGACTGGAGGGTTTTGCCAGTCCAGATCCAGAAGCCGGTGGTGATGCCCACAATCATGGTCATGAGGTACTTGATCAGGAAGACAGTGAAGTCAGGGCTCATGGGGGCAAAGTTGGTGGGGCAAGTGATGGCGTAGCTCTTGCAGCTCTGCAAGAGCCAGGTCTTCTCCCACGTTTCCCGGAAGGCCTGCTCGTAGAAGTAGCAGGCCAGGACGATAGTGGCCGGCACCGTGTAGAGGACACTGAAGACCCCGATCCGCACCATGAGCTTCTCCAGCTTCTCAGTCTTGGTGCCGTCGTGCTTCATGATGGTCCGGATGCGGAAAAGGGACACGAAGCCGGCCAGGAGGAAGGAGGTGCCGATGAAGAGGTAGACGAAGAGCGGGGCTAAGACGAAGCCACGCAGGGCGTCCACACTGTAGATGCCCACATAGCAGACGCCACTGAGGATGTCACCGTCCACCTGCCCCATGGCGAGGATGGTGATGGTCTTGATGGCAGGCACAGCCCAGGCAGCCAGGTGGAAGTACTGGGAGTTGGCCTCAATGGCCTCATGGCCCCACTTCATGCCAGCCGCCAGGAACCAGGTGAGGGAGAGGATGACCCACCAGATGGAGCTGGCCATGCCAAAGAAGTAGAGGACCATGAAGAGGATGGTGCAGCCCTCCTTCTTGGTGCCCTGCACCACGGTGCGGTAGCCATCCTCGGAAAAGCGCTCCACACACACCGCCTTGTCCTCCAGCAGGAAGCCCGCCACGTAGGCCACAGCCACCATGAAGTAGCAGCCCGAGAGGAAGATGATGGGCCGCTCCGGGTAGCTGAAGCGTCTCATGTCCACCAGGTAGGTCAGGACGGTGAAGAGGGTGGAGGCGCAGCACAGCACGGACCAGATGCCCACCAGGAGGCGGGCAAAGCGCACCTCGGCCTCCTTGAAGTACATCAGCCCGTGGGGCAGCTCCGGCTCACAGGGCGCCCCGCAGTCCCGCTCCCCGAGGAAGCGGTAGCCCAGGTAGGGCGGCACTTTGAGCTGCCGGGGGCAGGAGAAAGCGTAGCTGGTGGGAGGCAGCGGGTGCGAGGGGGGCTCGGGCAGGTGGGCGGTGGGGTAGGCCGTGCCCCCCCCCGGGGCGCCCGGTGCCCCCGCCTCCCCCGGAGGTGTCCGAGGTGTTCTGGCCCACGCAGATCTCCCCCGCGCCGTGCACGGGGAAGTTCTCGCAGCGCAGGCGCTCGGGCCACTGGAAGCCGAACTTGTTCATGAGGGCCTCGCAGCCCTGGCGCGCCCGCTCGCACAGGGAGCGGCAGGGTGGGATGGCCTGCTCGAGCACGGTGCAGACGGGCGCGTACATGGAGCACAGGAAGAAGCGCAGCTCGGGCGAGCACTGCACTTTCACCAGCGGGTAGAACTGGTGCACCTCCAGCCCGGCGTCCTCCTGGTTGGTGTGGCCCAGCAGGTTGGGCAGGATGGTCTGGTTGTAGGCGATGTCGGTGCACAGCGGGATGGAGATGGGCTGGCAGAAGCCGTGGTCCGGCACTGAGATCCCTTTCTCGCCGTGGTAGGGCTGGGCCCCGCAGCCCGACGGCACTCCCCAGAGGGCGCCCAGGAAGACCGCCAGCAGCAGGCCCGAGCGCGCCGGAGCTGCCCTGCTCCTCGCCGCCGCCGCTCCCCGGCCCATGATCCGACACAGCAGGCAGCTAGAGAAACAAAACAGGCGCGCGCGCGCACACACGGCGGGCGGGCGGGCGAGGGAAGGCGAAGGAGGGAGGGAGGGAGGTCTTCACAGCGCGGAGGCGCTGTCCCCCACCGGCATCGGGAGGGAAGGAAGGCGGGGGGCCCCAAAGGGCGAGAAGCGAAAGGGGTCACACGGCAGCGGCACGACTGCCTCGGCTCTCCCAGCTGCCTGCTCTCGGGTGGGGGAGGTGGAAGGGGGCGGATCGCTTTGCGAAACCGGCTCCCTCTCGTCGCTCGCTTGCTCGCCAAGGGCTGCGTAATAATCCTCCTCCTGAGCTGCGAGCCCAAATTCGATCGCAAGCCTTCTCGGAGCGCGCCTCGCTTCTTCTCTCTCACACCGCTCAGTGATCCAAGAGTCCTGCACCGCAAAATCGCAGCCGCGATGTCTCCTGTTGGCCACGGGAGCAGAGGACGTTGCAGGGCGGCGGGTGTTAAAAAAAGTTTCCTAGGGGCGGAGATTTAACAGCCAAACGAAATCCTTCACTAAGTCCCTCCGTGGTAACTTAGCCGGCTCCAGTTCCCCGCCTCGCTGCTCAGCTTCTTGAAGCCTGATTTAGTTTAAAACGGATTATTAGGACTTGCTTCCGCTTGATCCTGGGTGTTTTACTCGAGGGGCTTTCAATCTTTTCCCCCTCCCGCTAAAAATCCAATTAACTGCGTGATTCTTTTCTTCGTTAGAGTCCAGAGGCAGCCAAATATCCCTCTGGCGCCCCTACACTTCGCAGATACGACCCATCTCTCCGGCGGCTACGCGAAGGACCTGCAGCAGCCGACGGAACGCGCCGTAGCAAAAGGGGGGGAGAAAAAAGGAGCGGAAAAGGACACATATATGTCTGAGTATTCCACCGGGCTCCGCCCCTTCGCCCCTTCCCCATTCACAAACCAAACACTGGGCGGGCCCTAGAATTCCAGCTCCTGCCAATGGCACGGTCTGTTGTCTCCGCAATTCTGTGTGGGATTGGATAGAACGATAAAAGGCTCAAAGGGGCAGGGAGGAATGTGGGCGGTTCTGCAAATGGTGGGATTCCTTCTGCCGAAAAGTTGAAAGAAACTTTCTCTTAGACTGTTGAATGGAGGGAGGGCAGGCCGCGAAAAAGAGAAAAATTGAGAGGAGCACCCAAGTCAAGGTTAGAGCATTCTCCATGCACCAAATTACCCTCTTTTTCCCCAGAAATGAATTTTCCATAAACACCCAGCGCTAAGTTCCTTCTGGCACAGCTCCCTGTAAGGTCGCAGCAGGGTGGTCTAACGTTGCGTTCCGTTTTTATTCCTATTTAACCTCCTGTTTAAATGAATGCGAGCCCCTCCCACAAGTAAATATGTGTAAGATTGGAGTGTGTACTTAGAATATGTTATTTAAAAGGACAAATATACTGTAGAGTAAACAGATTAAGACTTAAAGTTGTTTTTTTCTACAAATTGGATTTTAATCTTGTCATAACTGGAGAGTGACTATTCTGTAAAAAAATAAATTGATCTGCGGTATAGACTGCACTCTAAACTTACAAAAACTTTTTGAGTAGTGCCATTAAAATAAGTAGAAATACGGTTGTTAAAACACATGTGAGAAAGCTCATTCTTTTGATAGGCGTTTTACCCTCTTTTACCTGTTTTACTTGTTATTTTACAGGCTGCAGACCACAAAAACCACTCAAGCCACTAGATGGGTTGATACATAGAGGGAAATTCGATTTACTAACTTCAGAACAGTACAGAAGGTTTAAATCAAAATACTCTGGTTTCTCGGATGGACTTACAGTCTTTAGTAGGATTCCAGTAATGCTAAACTGGAGTGATTTGAGGAATGCATCCAGAAGTTTTTAATTTTGTATTTACTTGTTTGCCTGTTCTGTCTCCCCCCCCTTTTTTTTTTTTTTTAAATTCTGCTGAGGGAATTTCTCTTTGTCTTTCACCTTTAATAGGCAGGGAAGAACCTTGGGAAGCCCTCCCCCCAACATCTAAATCTTGAGTGGGGTGTGGGGGAGGTACAGCTTACCTAAACCAGAGTATAGCTTCTGGAACAGACAGAATTAGAAGCCCCATAGACCTAAGCACGTTCATTCACAAATAAATGTCTGGGATCTTGCATCCCCATTGAACTGAATGGAATATACTTCGCAGGAAATAGGGATTGCCCCATTAACCTCGTTTGGGCCTGGCTGGCCCAACCCAAGAAGCAATACAGGCAGGCAGTGCAGACTAAGATAACAGAATTTCAAGGGCTCCAGAGCACTGCAGCATCTTTTCCCTCATTCCATACAAATGAATGGGGCAAAAGACTTTCCCCTATACTGCATTCACTGCTGTGGGACAGAAGGAAGGAGCTGCCATTGGAAAAACCCTTGTGTGGAGGAATTGTATACATCTACCATATACAACAAAGTGCCAAGAGGAAATTGCTGAGGAAGCAAAATGGCTGACACTTGAGGCATCCCTGAACAGGGTACAGGGGTTGGGTTGTTTTAAAGCTGCAAACAGAACCCGTATTTCCTGAGGCAGATTTAAGGCACATGCCTGCTAGAAGTAGGAAGACTGTTTAAGGCCAAGTCATTGGGAGAGCTGAAGATCTTCATCTGTTTGCCTTTCCCAAGTGTGCAATGCATGGCCTTGCTTACTGATTGCATTCATCCCTCAGCATATAATATGCTTCCTCCCTTTGATTCTATCTCACAACTATTCTTATTTTTTATGACTACATCCCATTTTCCCTCCCTTCATGTGAAGAGCCAAAGGCATCACAAATGGTTTGGCCTTTTCATTTCATCCTTACCTGTGAGGCAGGCTAGGCTGAAGTCAGGGACTGACTTGAAGTCATCCAGGGAGCGTCATGGCCAAGTGGGGACTAGGAACAGCTTTCCCCAACCTGGTGCCCTCTTCAGGTGTTTTGGATTTCAGCTCATGGCATTCCTGACCACTGCCTATGCTGTTTGCTGCTAAAAGAAGTTGGAGCTCAAAATATCTGGAGGGCACCAGCTTGGGGAAGGTTGATAAAAAGTTAGTGAGAGACAAATTCTACATAAATGGTCACTTAACAGGGATCACTAAAACCGGAATCTGCCATAGCAATGGGAGGGGTTCCTGTGAAAGGTCAGTCGTGATCTTTCAGAAACCTTCAGGAGAACGATGCTATATCTGGGGATACCTCTGGGAGGCACCAAGTGGCCCAGGAAGCCTCAACAGCATGATATCGCTGAGAAGCTTTCTTTAGACACTGCCATGTTTTCAATGGAATCTTTATTTCTTCATCCAAGAACCCAAGAGCAATATATTGTTTAGCTTCAAAAGAATCCTGTGAAGTTGTCTAGGCAAAAGTGGTGACTTTACTAGTAGTCAGCAAGCATAATCACATTGTACACTTAACCATCCAGATGCTCACCTACACACCTGTACTGGTGTTCATAAGGTTGGAGACATGCTGGCATTGTGTATTCACATGAACCTACCTAATGTTCAAGGTGGTCATCTCAGGTTCTAATTTCTGGTCTCCCTTTGCATTGGATTTGTTTGATGATTACCAAAGGGGGGGGGTTGCAGAAAGGAGGCTGTGGATTTACACCCCCCCCCCACTCCGGAAGTGCGCTATGGAAACATTGTTATTCAGGAAGGCCTTTTCCAGTTAGTATTTTAATCTGAAAATGTTGGCTGGCTTTTATAAATACTTCTAGCTGTGCTCTTTTTACATATGTGCATGCCATACGCATGCATTTACTTGCTACCTTCAGCATTTTCAAGAAGGCCACAAATAAGTCCATAGAATAAAGACATAAATCAGTATGCTTCACAAGCAGAGAACATATGCTTTCAGTACTTTAATTTTAATTTGCATCAACACAGAAGATGTTCATCCAAAAGTGTTGTAGCCTTACCACCCACGCAGTTCTATTTTTGCATGTACCCAGCTGACATGTTGCAATGTAATTTTTTATGTGGCGGGATTTGACTTGCTTTTGGGTTGATTTTGGAGAGAAATCAGTCTTGTCCTTCATTTGTAATTGCAAAACTCTGTGTCTGAACCTTTATGGTTGAGCTGGATTATTTTTCTTTCTCAAAATATTTCGTCCTGTAGCCATGTAGAACTTAGTCATGTGCACGTATTTTATGAGTGTTATCAGTGTCATACCCGTGGTGAGGTCTTCAACGCAAATCATTAAATCCATGTTCGAGTTTGTCTCAGCTTAAGCAGGGTTCAGTTTAACCTAGAAGGTTGTTCATACCCACAAGAATTCCTTATCTTTACTGCAATTTTTCATTTTTCCTAAAATATTCAGAAGCTTCCTTAAAGCTATAATTTTAAAGGGATTTTTTTAAGCAAAGCCTTGTGGGATGAAGCCCTTTGCTTAGAACATCAGCAATTCCACTCTTTTTTAAATGAAGTTTTGCTGAATTTTCAGCTAGCTTGATAAATAAGAGAAATCACAAAATGTCTGCTGTCCTATACATGTTTATTTGTTTTGATTCCCCTGTGGAAAGCAGAATATAAAGTTGAGTTATGAAAGCAAAATCATGCGCACATACTTCTGAGAACTCATATGCTTCTTTCTAATAGGTTCTTGTGAAGGCTTGAAACAGCTCAGGTAAATAGAAAGCAAGATAATACAAGAAGTTGGCAAAGATAGAAAATATTTTCCATAATAGAAGTACACAGAAGTAAACCCCGCTATGTTTTGGCCTTACCTCTGAGATAGTTTGCCGGGGACTTCAGTATTTTAGCATAGTCCTTGGCATATTTTCTTGGAATTAAGTCCCAGTACATTTAGTGTTATACAGGTAAGTATGGATAAGATTGCAGTGTTTGTGTATTTATACAATACTTGTCCTAAATGTTCAAAGTGCTCCCATAATCCTTTTGTTACAACAGCCTTGTAAGACAGGCTGGAATTTTTATTTGTGGCATTAATCAACGCATTACACTGTGTTTGATGTGAAGCTAAGGAAGTCACATTACTTGCAAACTCTGAGAGGGGAAAAAAG